CGAAATTATTCTACTATTGAAAAAGAATGCCTTGCTTTGTTGTTAGCTTTACAGCATTTTGATGTTTATTTGAATGTTACTTTGCATCCAATTCTTGTGTATACTGATCACAACCCCCTGACATTTTTGCATAAATTGTCAAACAAGAATCAAAGACTGACAAGATGGAGTTTGTTGTTACAAGAATACAACATAACAATTAAGCATATCAAAGGCAAAGACAATGTTATTGCAGACGCCTTGTCAAGAGTATCGTAAACATACTAGATTTTGTATTAATGTACATGTTTTACAATTTAAGTTTTTCATTGATATTCAAACTTTTTAAGGGGGGAGGTGTTGTGAGATGTGTATTGTTTCATTATGTATATAATTAGTAACATTAAGTTTCTTGAACATTCCAGAGTGGTCAACATGTTTGGTCATTTTATCTAGAACATTCTTAAATTTTGTGTATGTCCAGATTGTTCCAGTAATATCATGTTTTAACAATTTCTAGAATATTCTAGATTTATATTACTGTATAAATACCCTGTCAATTCGATGCATAGATATACTTTGTCGTATAAGCACTACTGAGATATAACTGGGATACATATTTTCACTGGGACATTGTGTGCAGAAACGGACACTCTGATGTATGTATTTTTAGATTCTTGCTAAGTTTGTACTTTATGTTTGATATATTTATTATATATTACTGTAAATAAATTATTGTTAAGTCTAAATTGTGTTATTGATCTTTGCTGGCATTTCGGGTAATTCTGACCCATAACAGTGTTAGACAATTCACCTTTAAGAAAATATCTTAAAGGGCTTTATAAAAGAAGGGCCCAAGTTTTCCCTCAAACATTGATAAAATTCACTAGGAAGGCCATCCGCTCCAGGTGATTTTTCTTTTTTAATATTATCAACAGCTCTCTTACACTCTTCAAATGTTGGAAATTTTTCTAGTAATATTTTTTTCTTCAGAAAGTTAAGGGATATCATCTATCTCACATAATATTCTTCCATTTTCTCTTTATTGGAAAATTAAAAGGTATAACACCATAATTTAAAAAGATACAGTAGATAAAAACTAACAAAAAATCTTTGGGGGAATCACATGGATACGATATTAATACAGAAGCAACAAGGATGGGGCAAAACTATGAACGGTTTACATGTTTGGAAAACCAGAAGACTTACAATGAAAGAGAAAACTTTGATCATAACAAAATCTAATGATTCCAATCATTGGATAAACTGAAATCAGAGGATTTCCAGATACAATATGCCAAAAAAGATATTATTTGGACTTATATTTAATATAACTATAAAATTTAATAGATAGAAATGTTTGCTGTCCATGTAAGAATGAAGGAGAAATGAATATGATAAATATCTTCAATTTTATTAAAAGTATACAAATAAAAACGATTTATAAAATATAACTTTCAAAATCAGAAACTTGGAATGCTATTGGAAAAAACTGATTAAAAAGATATACATTCAAGTCAGGAATATTTTCTATGCTCTCACATATCTGAATTTTATTTACATATCATGTCTGTTTTTAATAGAATAACACTTATAACATTTAGCGAAATCTAGTCAAAATTCGAAACTGTAAATCGGGATGAAATATTCAACCTTCAATTGTCTGGAAAAACTGTAAACGTATTACATTTGGAGGTGTATTCTTTTTAGCGCTTTTGGCAGAAAGATACATCCGTTAATTTAAGTACAGTGTACATCGCTAAATTTCTTAAACATTGATTCCTGAATAAGAACATCAAGAAACCACTGTATCAAATCTAAGCTAACTTGTTTAAAAATCATTTCTGCTAAATATCGTACACATTAAAAATAATACATTTACAACTTATCTAATATAATTACAAGGGAAAACGCTAAATGTGACATCATTTATTAAAAGTAGCTTATTAAAAATCAGACGCATTTGGAACGATAAGGGCAACTATTTTAAACCAAATAACATTATATTTAACAAATTGTTAGACAAAAGATTCTGGATATTTGAATATAGCAAATTAAAAGCTGCTATACTTAAATCATATTATCAAATACAGTTATGACAAAGTTTGGTCTATAATACTGAATAGTGAATCAAAGATCCCTTATGAATTGGAAAATAATCTTCTCAGTAAAAGTAAAAAAAATAAAGTCGTTACAACGAAGATATTAAATTAAAATGCATAGAAAAAATCCTAAATAAGAAAACAGTACCAAAATGTCAGGAAAAATAGGGGAATTTTTTAACAATGAAAATACAGTGGAATTTAGCTTGGGAAAGCATAACAAGAGTAAAAACTAAAATTTAATTCAAGAATTTCAATTGAAAGGGATTCTTGATATCTTTTACACTGAAGGTAAATTATTGAAAATTGGAATACCCAATTCTATAGAAAATTTATGTAAAATCCAAAGGGAAAAACAACAACTTTTATTTCTTCATTGTAAGTTGCTCAAACCAACACCATTAATAGTAGACGTACACAATGTGTTAGAACTAAACGAAAATATGGACCCACAAACAATAATTGTAGGCTACTTAAAAGAACCAACAAGCTCAAGAATATTTATAAACACTTAAATATATATTTAGTGGGTTATATGGAAAACGAGAAACAAAGTTAGATATGAAAATGTAAAAGTAAATTATTTAAGTATAAACGCTGCCTTTAAATAAATATGAAATCAAATGTTAATTGCCTGTACAATTATACTACCCTTCAAACTGCAAACTAAAGGGAGATTATAATAACGATAATTTACAGATAAAAGATGAATTTAATAATTCGTACTTGAGGGTCATTAGCTATTAAGCCAAATAAAAGCTATGTGTTTACTTGGTTCGTACGCAAGACAGTCCTTATTCTAATTAAGAATATCTTAAGGATTTTCAATCCACAGCCAGGAAGGATAACTCCAAAAATTAATATTTGATTTGAAATGCATCAAAATGAAGCTTGAATATGAATTTTTTTCATGCAACAATTGTCATTTAAATCATCTTTATAAAGATTCAAGGCTTTTTTGAAGTCTTAGAAAAAGTCTTTTTTTGAAATTTGACATTTGTACCCTATAAAAGGAAAAAAAAATCAATACAGCTTAATAAAAATAAGATTTTCTTGAATCCAACCTTAGATACCGATGCTTATTAGCATGATATGAAATAAGAAGTGGTTTGTGGTGTATTGCAATGATTGCAAAAGCCTTATACACTATGCATTATAGAATACATGACGAAAATAGAAGACACAAATACCAAATAAGTTAAAAAATCATCGGAATATTTCTGAATGCCTGGAAACCCATCTTTTTTAACCTTAAATATTTTTGTTGATCAATTTGCAATTAGAAAATGCATTGTTCATATTCCAATTCGCTTTTTCTGCAAAAATATTGGAAATTTGACAACTTTCCTATATAATATGATTATCTTTAATTTTCAACTTTAAAGAAATACTGTGGATGAAGGGTATGGAGATAACGAAGAGTATTCAATCTCAAAGTCCATAAAACAATACAAAATAAGAGCAGAGCAAATACGGACCCCCGAAACATCAGAGGTGGGATCAGGTGCCATGGAGGAGTGAGCTTCCCCTGCCAACCGGTCACATCTGCCCTGTGCTCCTTGACATGATCAGGAAATAAGTGAAAAAATCCGTAGTCAATTCAGTGTATAAATAATTGGTAGGAAAAAAGTCAGTCAGCATTTGACTAAGTGATAAATTGTATATGCTGACAAGGTCATTGTATCGACCATAGAACTTAGGAAATGATGACTTTAAACGTAACTGCTGATATTCTTGTTTCATCAACTTGCTTGTCAATAATTTACCTTGTTTTAGAAATTGTTCATACGCAAAGCATGCTCTCGCGTATCGAAACAACTGAGATATATATACTCCATATGCAGGTGATGAAGGTATATTGCTGCATAAGTAAGGGAAGTTGACGAAAGAAAAGTTAATTTATCTTAATTCAAAGTAAATTTACGAGTTCCATTTTTTATTGAAGAAGCAGCTGTCAATGATGTCAAAATGCGTGGATTTTGATTTATCGTGGGGAATTGTTGTGTATAAAATTGAAAAGTCGAAACTTTTTTAGCTGTTGATTTTTGTAAAGTCTTGTGACTTCAAATTGTCCAAAAGTTCTTTAGATTTTTTTAGTATCCACATTGATTCACACCACTTCTAGATATATACTCTTGCCTTCACTACTGTCAATATCTTAGTGAGGAGTATTGAAAGAGGCTTGGTTGAACATTTACTTGAACCTGCAATGTATCTTTGTTTATAAGGATTCTTATGAAGTTTCGCAATCCAATATACCTAAGGTAGTTCAAATTTATTTTGGCTCTGTGGAATATTATGAGTATGAGTGTAAGTAGGATTACCACTTGTAGAATTAAATCCATTTTTTGCTAGAATGCAATTTATATAATGAGCCTTACAAACAAAGACAATTTTGTTACCTGCTTTGTCGGCAGGAACCAGTACGTATTGATCGTGTAATCTTTCTAATTCTTTTTTCACTTCTGGTTTATTGAACACAGAAGGATAGATGGTTTTCATATTGCAACTCAATCTTTTAATACATGATTTTAACATGGATCTGATACATTTAATCCATTCTGACAAGGTGTCAACGTCTTCTTTTTCATATCTGGCCCATCGTCTGGCGTAATTCTCAACACAATCCATAATATTTATGAAATTGCGACGCCTGTTGAAGGATAAATTTACATATTTACATAACTTTGTGGATTCAGAGATACTTTTATGAGTATTTTTGATTACATAACTGCTAATTTTATAAACCTGAGGATCGGATTACCTTAAATGAATTTTAAGATTTATTTCACTTCCAGAATTTTGTGTTGTATTTCCGACAATATTTATTTCATTTCCGACATTTTATTCATGGGTACATATGACCCACCGTATAACCCAATATTTATTATTTATATGCAAAAACTCATTCTTTTGCAGGACTTTCCTATAAGATTATGGAAATAAACAAAGAGGACCTCAAATTACCCGACATCTCTACAGGAAAGCTAGCCTTTGTTCTTCATAATGTGTTTACGGAGGAGGTAAGTCATTAACCTACGTAAATACATAAAGAAGTTGGCAATGAAGCAATATTAGTTTTTGGTGCTGAATTATTTTTGAAAGGACATTCAATCTCAAATCTCAATTTTCTTTGACATTGCTCTTAAAATCACTACAAACTATCATTTACATGTAAACTTTATGTTAAATCTCCACAAATCAAAAAATCTCCAAAAGATTGAAATTATTCATCAACGAAGTTGCATGCATTCATCAAAGAAGAAAATGAAAAAAAAGAAAAATTTAATTCTTCATATTTTTTTTTTCATATGAGCAGGTGTTTGCTCCTTTTTATACACCACTTTCAGTATTTCTGTCTGTAACACTTTATTCTCCGCGCGATATCTCGAGAATTTATGAAAATTTTACAATGTTTTTTGACCTCAAAATCAAAGGGATTCTCTTTAGAACTTAGGCTTTAAATTCTTAAGTGGGAAAATTAGATTCTTAGAGGTGATCGATTTGTGGCGTTTCAAGAAAGGGAAAAACATCATGCTTAGAAATCAAATTTTCAGGTAAAGATCCATACCATCCTATTAAAATAACGAAGCTATTGTCTACTAAGTAAGGTGCATGCTGTTTATCATGTTTTTATCTGTATACAAATAAATGAAATCTATTGAAGCGGAAATAAATATATTCAGTGTTTCCACTTTGCAATGTCTCTTTCTTTAAAACACCTTGTTTATAGGCGATCGCGTGCGAGGAAGGCTGAAATTCCACTCCTAAATCAGGGACATTGCATGATCGAGATTTTCCGTTCATAACTCGCATCTACTTGATTAAATCTTAAAACCAAGCTCTAAAGTTGGTAAATAAAATGGCATCGTGAGCATGATTACTTCAAGTGTGCTTTTTGTAAAATATGAACACATTCTATGGTGACATGTTCGAGTAATCTTACATATTCACCAGTCTAAACTCTCTCAACATGCTCAAACTCAGTGTCATATATTGTGACAAATTGTAAGAATCGAAGATGTGACTTTATATGAATATTATGGTGGTTTTTAGTGTTATGCAAATTGTGAGTCAAGAATAGAAAATCATTAAAAAATAGAAAGAAATGTAACATTTATCCCAAGATGATCTTTAAAATTCCCTTTACAACAATTATTACTAGCTCTGTAGATATAGTATGGGGATAATGTTTATGTGTCTTTAAAATCAATAAGGTTAGATAAATCAATAACATCTTAAAGAATTCATTATTCAAAGGGTGAAATAACGCCAACAATAAAAAAAATGATTTGTTTGATATACTCCAATAAACCTGTCAAAATACCACTACCAAATACTTTTTTTTAGCACTTTTAATTTTTTTTAAATAGTTTAATTTCTTTAGATTGTATCATGATTGACATTTTTATATTAATAATGAAATATTGCATTTAATTTGTATATTATTATTATTATCATTATTATTGTAATCGAGTGTAAAATCGAGTGTGTATCGAAAACATCAATAATTTCCGAGTCTTTTATTTTTATGATAGTTTCTATTTTGTCCAATACTGACAAACAGTTTGATATCCTGATTTAAAAAGGAAAGCTTCATTATGTTTTCTAATGAGAATTAGATAGAAATGATAATAAATATTATTTTCATATACACTGTATACTTTATATTTTTAATTTCATTGTGAGATAAAAAAAAAAATAATGATCTTTCTATTTAACATATTAAATTTTCTCACATCATCATTAAACAAAATACTGATTTCTGAAAAAGTAAGCAACGCTTCATACTTTTTCCCAATTTAATTTAATGCTAGAATTGATGATAAAAATCAATGTTTGAAATAAAAGAAACAATTGGTGAAATTTGGAGCAGAGGAATATTTCAGCCCTAGAATAAGAAATCTAATACCTTTAGGGCAGAATTTATGAGTGTCTTGGTTCTCAAAAAAAAAAAATTAATTTTCAAACAGACAGAATTTATAGCATCATTACCTTGATGTTCTGACCTCAAATTCAATAGCGTCTTCCACGGTCCAAAGAGCGTTGTTGTGTGAAATTTCATTCCAAAAGCTCAAAGTTGCCTCGAAAGTGTTACAAAGTGAAGGAAATACAGGGAGAAATGTACAGACCTAATCTAATATCCCCACTTTAAGTAAAAACGTGAAACAGTATAAATCAAACAATATAAATGAAGTTTTTTGTGCATGTTAATACACTGCAGGTTTCAGTAAATGTTCAACTAAGCTTCTTTCCTTATTCCTCACTAAGATATTGACTGAAGTGAAGTTAAAACTTCAATAGTACTGTGCATTAATATATTCAAAAAGTAGTGTGAATCAGATGTGGATACTCAAAAATTCCAAAGAACTTTTAGACAATTTGAAATTTGACCCAAATACCAAAATCACCAGCTTAAAAACTTATGACTTTTACTTTATACACAATTTAAAATTTTACTCTAAATGAATAATCGGTACAGTTTTTTGGTATATTAAAGAGTAAAAATCCAAAAATATTACAAAGCATTTAAAAGTACACAAATGAGTCAAAACCATGTATTTCTTTTAAGATATCTGCAGCAAACAGAGAAAGATTTAGGAAAGTATGAGTACATAGCTAAGATATAACCAGTAAACTGCAAGAAAAAAATGCACGATCAAAGTGCCGGAAAAACAAGGGTTGTATCTACTGTTTCGTTGTTTTCGTGTTTGTCAAGGTCACGTCACTTTTATTTTTGGCTCAAACTTGTAAACATTCAACTGGAGCATGCAAGGTAACAAAATATGGTTTAACAACGTTTTAAAAATATTGCCTCTAAATTTTTTATCTGCTTACATTCATTCCTTAGTACTTGAGACCATGGTAACTATGGAAACTTTTTCAACTTTTCTACGCACGCGTACAATGGGGTGGAAGTAGAAATGAGCAATATTTTCGGTCTGGGGCATACTAAAATGATTTTTACTTTTATTTTTCGCCTTAAAAATTGAATTTTAAGGTTCTGAAACCTGTAATTTTCTGAAGCCTAATACTTTAAGGAATTGAACAAAATTAACAAGGGTCATGAAAAAATTCTACATTTGTAAAATTTCCACCTTGTGCGTCACAGTGTCTTTAATATAAGCACTTTAACCATGTTCGGCTCTTCAGGCAGTTATTCAAATGTATTTCTAAAAATCAAATGTAATTTAAGATTAACATCGATTTTTTTTTGTTTATTCCCCTTTTTTGTCCTTGTTCATTGATGATCTTCCTCCCAATTTTGGATGTATGTTTAATGTCCTGTTCGAGATTTTTTTCAATAATATTAAGATACCATCACTTGCCGATGAAGGGCTACCAATTTAAGCCTATACAAGCCACTCGGGGCCATTGAGCAGTGAAAGATGTTTTTTTGCCAGTACCTACTGCGATACGGGATCTCGATTTACACGTTCTAATCCGAAGGGCGGGTCTCCGCAGTGGGATTCGGTCTTGCGACTTAATGTAGAACCTACATCATATGACATCATGTGTTTAGCTTGTGCAACATCCATTTGACGTCATAATCAATTGAATGTTACTTTTTTTTACTTATTTTACAGCTTTTATAGAAATTGTAGAAAATAAAGCATTTTGAAATGCATGGCATTTAATTTTAAATGAAACCAAAATACTATTAATACATATAATCAATTTATATATTTTTTTGATAAAGCTGATTGACTTGATACAATTTCTAAATAAGAGTAGCCTGTAGGCACCATTCTTGACATAAAGTGGACAAATCCAAGACTTTCTCATGTATAGAAGTTACACGGCTTATTGTGATAAATTTAGGGTGGAACATTAACTAAAATAAGTATACTTGTCTATGTTTGTTTTAAACGTGGACTTATCTTTTATTTCAATTGAATAGAAGATAATTGAAATATTTGGAGAAATACTGTTTAATACTGTTTAGTCTATAAAGTCTATGAACGGCGATGTTTAGATAAGTATTTTTTCAGATTTTTCATATTATCTTGACGACAAGTACCCCTAAAAATAACTGAAAATATGAAGTCGCAATATGTAATTACCATTCCAAGTTTCACAAGCTGCTCTTCATTTAATAACAAGGAAACATGATACATGTACCTGCTTTTAACTGATTGATAAGCAAGTGCTAATTTTTTATTTTAAAAGGTTTGAAAATTTTGTGACAAAGACTTTTCCGACATAGGTTCCACCTTAAGAATGGACTCTCTACTCGGCGACTCTAACTGCTGCAAAACGCGAGTGACATACCCAACTTTGAATACCATGCTCCGTAAATTCATTTGATGATCGATTAGCTTGCCTAGCAATTTACTGAATCGTTCTTTCCCGAAAAAAGAACCTTTGATTTTTTTTCTATCTTAATAGGAGTGTAACAAATACATAATAGATTCGGAGAAGAGAGGATATGAACTTGCCACATGCAATGTCGGCAGCGGAAGGTAAACGTTTTATGTATCCAGTCAATCTTTCTTGTTGATTCATTATTTTTACACTAAATGTCAATTTTTACCATTCGATATGAATGTTCTAGAAACTTTTGCTTTGTGACGACTTGAAATAATTTTTTCCCCTTTCAAAACCTAATAGGCAGATTTATGCAAGCCATGTAAGAAATAGTTCTAGAAATAGTTGGGTCTCAAAAGAGGAAGCAGGAAGAATTCTGGGAAGAATCAAGAAGTTCCTACCTGCAGAATGGAAAGGAAGGAAACTTGTAGAAATTGATGAAAGGTTCGTGTACTCATTACCATAGAAACATAAAATTAAAAGTTTTAGACTCTTTTAAGTAATTCAAATCAGTTTTTTTTAAATCAATATTTTCATTGTCAATCAGGTTAATATTTCTGCGGTATGACCCAGGTGAATATTTTAAGCCTCACTTTGACGGCTCCTCAATGAAGGACAATAGAACCAAAAGTTATCTCTCCATCCAAATATATCTTAACCAGGCAGGTTTGAAAAACAATTATTTTGATCTGAAGATTTAGAATTCTCTATTGTTATTACTTTTATCCGATGATTTATAATTCTCTATTCTTATTGTTTTGATCTGAGGATTTAGAATTCTCTATTCTTATTGTTTTGATCTGAGGATTTAAAATTCTCTATTGTTATAGTTTTGATCTGAGGATTTAAAATTCTCTATTCTCATATTTTTTTCTATTTAAAAAAAATCAGCAGGGATTTGAAGGAGGCAGTACGACATTTTTAGACAGTTATTCAGGAAAGAAAGACGGCAGAGTGGAGATAGTACCCAAAACGGGTAAAATATGGGAGTATAATATTTTTACAACGTAGAAAGAAATCGTCAATATTTCCTATTTTTCTGTAACTATAGAAGGATGGATAATATTACAGCGTATAACTTAATCACTGTATGAAGTAATTTACTGAAACCTAAATTCTTTAAAAGAAACGTAAAAACGCCTAGAAATTAAGCCTGGATTTATAGAAATTGTGTAACTTAATTTTTCAACTTTTGGATCGGTAACATTTTCTAACTCAAAACAAATTTTAAATGATGTCAATCCATTGTGTGTAACTACATGTACTGTCATATGGTTTCAGGATGGTAAATTATGTGTTTTGTGTGTATCTCTACATTTATCTGAATACAGTCATTAAAACAAAAATTTTTAAAGCGCTGAAATTAGCATACTTAAAAAGAATCACAATACTCTATACACTCTTTTTTATATAGTGATATATTTTTAAAACGTGCTAACTTCACCGATTTTTTTTTATTTTGTTTTAATGAGTGTATTCAAGCTCACATAGAAAAGTACTTAAAAGACTAAAAGATTTAGTTTGACAACAAACTATTATAAATAAACAGAAGCTAATTATAGCAGCCATCCACCTTTTCAGGCTCAGTTTTGATTTTCCAACATGACATCCTTCACGAGGGATCGGAACTGATTAAGGGCCGGAAGTACGCCATTAGGACAGACGTCATGTACGAAGCCTTGTAGTTCTAGACTGACATAGGTCTGTCCTGGTACAAAGAACGTATTCATGCACGACAGAATTTTTTTTGTTTATCAGTTGATTAGTATTTCTTTGGTTATTATTTAACAACCTAAAAATCAAATCAACATATAACAATTATAACAATCTACATATACATTCATGCAGGAGCAAAATATAAAACATATATCCAAAATGTATTTAAAATCATATAATATATATAAATTTTATTAACAAAAAGTTTAACTCTCTCGTATACAATTTTCATAAACGAACGAAGTTTACTCAATAGCCCAACTTTTGGAAGAAAACACTTCATGATAACTTGATATTATTTGGCCTTGAAACATAATTTTTGGGAATATGATATATTTTTTTTTTTTGCATAACCTTCATTTTTTTATTGTAATTCAATAATATATATATTCTTTTAATTTCTTTAGTTTCAGGATGTTTTGTAAAATTGATATGTCAATGTTATTTGTAAATTTTGAGAGTTGCAGTAAAAATAATTCAAACCTTACAACTTGTTTTCTTTTAAGGCCGAAGTACAGAGGCTGAATACAAGTTGAACCTATATTTTGCCCTCACAAGCTGAGCGAGACAAAGTTCATGTAATCACTTACAATTTTAGTCATATAAACTAGAGTCGAGCTCGTCGCAATGCATCGATTAGGTCTTTGGACCAGTTTGACCAGAATTATTGTCAGTTATAGTTAACTTATAGACGTTTCTAGTTACTTTCATTTTTAACCATTTTAATTAGTTCCAATACCTTAAAATAAAGCATTTTCTTAGTACTTCCATTTTCACTGGAAGTGACGTCGATCATCGAAAAATAAGTTCGGATGCTACAGGTGACTCAATGTACCCCTTTCTTAGGGGTCAGCCCCTGTTTGTGACATTGGATAAATGATCTTGCAGTTTTGCATCGATTTTTTCTTCTTCACGTTTTAGCTAATTATCTACAGGTGAAGGAAATCGTGAAGAAGTTTTGAAAAAAAATGAAATTTCGAAGTGCCTTTTTTCGGCAAATAGAAAGCTCCAATACGCAGCAATTTCTTTGAATACGAAATACGTTCAGCACATCTACATTTATCGCTTTATTATCACTAAAAATCTCAAGTGTCTATCTTAGTCCGTTTTTGAGAAAACTTGCGGACAAACTAACTCTCTAAAATTCACTAACATGCAGACATCTCGGAACCGGAAGTGGCGTAATCAAAACAAAACATTTTATGACTAGATTTTTTTTTATCAAATCTGAAAGTTTCATGAAGATTGAGCGATCAGTTTCCGAGAAATTGCGTAGACAATATGATTTAAAAAAATGGAAAAGAAACTCTAAGAAAAATAGTAAGGTCTTCTGCTGTAGTGAGATACCTTAATTTTTTTTCATCTTTTAACTTGTCACAGTATAAAGTTTAATGAAATTCGTCAACACATCATTTTCACATTTAAAAAACCTATTGTGCTTACTCCTTTCAATAGAAAAAGAGAAATCATTTATTTTTTTTATATCTTTTTCCTTGCACTTTTACACAAAGAAGTTATAAACTCTGGAACTTTTGTAACTGTTTAATTGTGACGCAATATATGTAAGGCATATGACGTAACTGATACATCATTGGAAACGTGAATTCAACCTGAATAAAAGAAACTCTTTTTAATCTAAATATTATTTTGTAAATAAAGAAGATTTTTTTGTTTGATAATATTCTTTAGTGTATATAGATGCTAAATATTTCACTTGAATTCTGATAGTGAGATAATTAGCAGGTTTACCGATGCCACAGGGGATAACTCTTGCATGGAAGAATTTCATAATTAAAAACGTCAATATATTTTGCAAGAAAACTATAAAAAGTATCTTTTCCACCGATTTTTTTTAATCAGAAAGATGAAATATTTCTAGAATTGAGTTAAGTGTGAATTACAGTTTTGTTGAAAATATAGTAGACATTACGGCTCTTTATATATGACCTACATTCAATGGTTTATATCGATGAATTCAATAACAGTCACGAAGCAAAAGGATATTTGTTTCTTCTGCAAGTTTTTAAGAATATGCTTGAAATTTCACGTATTAATTACGTCACAATTAGCATTTCAGGATGTACAACACACCTATCCAAAAAAATTCCTGTCGTTTATTATTCGTTATTTTTTTGTATATTTAGTACATAACCATATCTAGTGCATGTATGCACATTTTGGACAAAATAGTTAGAGTGGTTTTTGGACAGGAAATTCCAAAAGTTACCCCCCCCCCCTTTAGTTGTTAACAAGGAGAGAAACTTTTTAATCAATGCACTACTTAAACCTTGATTTTGATAAAAAAAAAACAAGTTAGATATAATTGTCAAATTTCATTGACATTCCTTTAACCATTTAACACAAAAACATAGTCATCTTTTTGATATACATATCATCAAAACAATTTTTAAAGACCTTAAACTGAAAAACTATGAATTATCAAAGCCTTGAAATTTGTGTATTATTCAAATTCAATTTTTTTTTTTGTGAAAAAACCTGTCGTTTCATTTTGGTTAAAACCTTCTTTAGGTAGCTGGTAGTAAAAATAATCTTAATTTTTTTTGTATTATTTTTGTACGACCAGTTTTGATTTAATAGCGGAAAATTACCCCCTCCCTCTTTCTCAATAAATCACGTTCCCTCGCGTCTTTCAGACGGAGGTCGATCACTTTGCTATGAATCTAAAAATACACATTTTGAAAAAATCAAATTGGAATATTGTTTTTGCTTCCAGAATATATTAACTTACGTATTTAAAAGTTCTTATATGTAAAGCGTGTTTAAATGTAGATTTTTAGGCAATTTTTGAATACCCCTACAATCCCCACCCTTTGCTTTTTTGCGTCGCAGACCATTAGCGTTTGACGAAACGTCGTTTACAGTGCTAGTATTCTAGTATTTCGTCATTTGAATCCAGGAGGTATGCATTAGTTTTTAAATTCATATATGCAGAATAAATATTGACTACTGGTTTATATGTATCAGGAAAAATTACTGAAGGATTTTAGTGTTTAGCCCATATATGTATGCGTTATGCATTCCATATCACATAAAACCTGGATACGAATGTTGAATATGTTGATTTTCAATTTTATTTCTTAAATTTTATTTTTAAAGAAATGGTGTATGCTCAACTCTCCTGTGATATAAATGGAATAATTATAGCATCTTCCATGTTATTATTTCAAACGAGACAGTATGTGGCCGTGGGGATACATTGACATTTGCAAACATGTACACCCCTCATGATATTGTACGCATTTTATCAATGTGGTTGCTTCTAAAGATAAAATGAAAATTCCGTATTCGTCCACATTAACTTGAAAATATCAAACATTTAACTCTCCATATATTTTAATTCATATCAAATCGCACATTGATATTTTAAAAAATCTTGTAGGCTACGTTTTGTTTTGATTCGAGGAAATGCAAAAATAACAGTTTAAAATATGGTTTTCCATCTTGTTTTTCTACAAATTATGCTCGCAAACACCTATATTGACCAAGCTAATGTTATAGAGTATCATGAAACGAATTGATTGCTTAAATTTGTAAATTTTTTTCTATTAAGAGGATAAATCCATATATTTAGTTACATTTGCAAATGTTTCCCATTTTTATAACACAACTGAAAGCAATACATATTAATAACTGTATCAATACAGGTTCCTCGAACGTAATAAATGTTCAACGTCATTTCTCTTTGACGTCATCAAGGCTCGACGCACAATCAACGGATAACAAATATGCTGTTTGGTTTGAAATATAAAACATTTCACGAGTTTAAAGACATAAATAGGCAAATATAAAATATAAAAAAGTCACAAATGTAAATAAAAGTAATAAGGTATCATTTCAAAACATCTATCGCACTATAAATACGGGTTGGTGCGAGATCAAATTCACCATAAAGCCCACAGGCTTGATGGAATTCGATCTCGTGACCAACCCGTATTCATATATATGTTTAAAAATGATACCTTATTTCTTAAATATTTTTTAAAATCTTCTTTTAATACAAAATACATAGCTTCTTATAATATAAGAAGACAAATATAACATGTTACAGAATATTTTACTTGCATATGTTGTTACCCAATTATAAGTACCAGTGTTTTCATCTTTACATTTTGCTTTTGAACATTTTCCTGGGCACAGGCACTCAAGGCAGGATAAAAACAACCATAAAAATTGTATCAATAACATATTCTGAAAAAAATGATAGGGGCTTTTGTTAACCCCATACATTCTTGTACATGTCTGTAATGTTGTACTTCGTTTGAAACTGCAACTCCGCATGTCCTTGTATTTTAAGAATGAAATATATGGATATAACGAACCGTATTCAAGCTCTAATTCCATTAAACAATGCAAAATAGGAGTAGAGCAGACACAGACCTCTAAAACATCAGAGGTGGGATCAGATGCCATGCAGGAGTGAGCATCCCCTGCTGACCGGTCACACCGCCGTGCACACCTTGTCATTATTGAGAAATAATCCGCCAATAATTCAGTGTGTAAAATAATGGCCTAACAATTGTCAGCATTTGACTAATTATAAATGATCAATTGTATTTGCTTTGACCAAAGAAGTTACGAAATGATGACATTAAACGAGGCTTCTGATATTTTTGTTCAATCAACTTGTTTGTCAGTAGTTTACCTTGTTCTAGAAATTATTCATATGTTAAGAATGTTCTTTCGTATTGTTCTGCTCTTATTTTGTATTGTTTTATGGACTTTGAGATTGTATACTGTTCGTTATCTCCATATCCTTCTTTCAAGCTTATCGGGATATATCGTATTGACATAAAAATGGAAATAAGCATTATTAATTGACAATTTATCGTCAATATATCTAAATATCTAGCTGAAGGCCACAACAAGTGTCGTCTTCGTTTCATGTATGTGTAAGATTTTGGAGTTCGGTAAGTTCTGCTTCATATGAATACAAAAAATGTCTGCTAATAATCGGATGCAATAAGTACCCATGGGAATTCCAAAAGATTGTTTGAAGACGACCTTTTCTTTAAAACATACATAAATATTGTCAATCAGAAACTTAAGCATGTTTCAAAGTCAACTTCAGAGTACTTGAATATGTGTGTACAATCAGAATGATTTAACAAAATAATGTTGCAACAGACGTATGACAGTGTGAGTAAATCTACGTGTTCAATATTAATGGAAAAAGTTTTTTTTTTTTGTTTTTTTTTTTGAAAGCTGTTGATATCAAAAAGCCTGGACTTAAATTTATAGTGGGGAATAGTGGTGTATAAAATTGAAAAGTCGTTTGTCTTAAGCTGATAGAGAGAAAGAGGCTTAGTTGAACCTTTACTG